AATAAAAACACACACATATACTACCACTAGTTCTTAGTATAATATCTAAATAATTAATTTGAAGATATTAAAAAAATTAGTTAGGCTGATTATTTATAATAAATGTGTGTTGATTTTTCTAAACTATCACATTTAATCATATGTATTAGAAATATCTCTTAGCAGAAGCTCCTTACAATGCATAGAATGTTTTGGAGAATAAATTAAAAAATTTGAAAGACAAATAAAATTGAGATCTTATATTTATGACTAAATTTAATAACTAAGTAACTTTTATATTAAGGATCGGGAGGTAGTATATATACTTTTTTGGTCCTATATATAAGGTAGAGAGAGAAGACATTTTCTGATTCTATTTATAGGGTATAATTTTATCCTTCATTTATTATTATGTTGACTTTGTTTACATGAGATATAATGTATATTGAATAGGGATAAAGTTGAAAACTTGTTAAATTTTAAATGAGAGTTAATAAAATCTAAGATTTTTCTTCGTTGATATGAAACATGTTGGAAGTGATTTATAGATAGGATTAGAAGAATATTTTTTAATAGGCATATGCCTAGAATTAAGGCTATATTTGGTAGAAAGGAGAGCCTTTTTTTATTTTCTAATTTAGAGAGGCAAACATTAATAAACAAATGTTGGTTGAGATAGTAAGCAGTCTCACTTTTATAAGAAGGAGAATATAATTTCAAGTCCCGAAAAACGCACTTGTTGTAAGGGCTTTAACTTTTATGCTTTCGACTTGACAGAAATTAGCTTTAAGTTGAAAGTAACATTATAAGTAGGATCACACTTCGACTGCAGTTTTTCACGTACAAGATGTTAGGGGAAAAAAGACACAAATAGCCTCACTCATTCATTAGAGATGTCGTTCTTTGTGGAGAAACAAATAAATATAGAGAAACACTAATTATCAAGGGAAAATCACAATTTGGAAATATCTTTTGGTGTCATTATTGTAAAAAATTAAAAAACAAAAATTAAAATTAAAAAAATCACAATTTGATCATGCTTTTGTGTTTAAATGGGAAGTATTGTTAGGAGTCCTAATGGAGGAAAAATAAAATAATAAAAATTGAAAGAAAATTAAAAAATTCTAGCTGGAGCCTATAAATAGGAGAGAAAAAGTTAGAAGAAGACACACAAAGATTTTTAGAGAAAGGAGGCAAGCCAATTGATAAGTGGAGCATTATGTATGGATTTCTCTTCCTATCTACTGCGTTTGGTTTGAATTTCATAATGAATTGATTTTTAGGTGTTCTTTTCTTTTACTTTCGAAAGCACTTCTTTTTTTAAAATAAATACTGTGAGAGGATTTTTGAACCTTTGCAAGTATATAGATTTATTGCTAAACCATACGAGATTATGGGAGTCTCAGCAGAAATACCAATGTAATTGTGCAAGTTTTCTTTTTAAAATAAAAAGTGAGGAAATAATTTTGGCCCAATGTATATAAATGAACAATAAAATAAAAAAATCTTTTTTTAAAAAAACTATATATATAATTTCAAAATGTTTTTCAGAGCCGTGTGAGGTTTTTAGAACCTCCGCAGGCTTGAACGATTATTCTTCCACATGAGGTTGTGGGAATTTCTACAGGGAGAATAATCCAAAATTTCTTTCAAAAAATATTTTCTAAATAAAAATGCAAAAATTGTTTCCATATATTGAAAAAATCAACCCACAAAAATATCATTTTTGATTGTATAAATATTTTCATAAAAACCAAGTGACAAGCATTTATACCCTCAAACTATGTGGGTTTTGATCCCTCTAAAAAGTATGTAGGCATTAAGCTTTTATCCTAAGTCAAGTTCAAATTTATAAACAAACTATTTTTTTTCTTTTTTAAAAATTTTTTTCCCTTTTTTAAATAAAATTTTTTCCTTATTTTTAAATAAAATTTTTTCCCTTTAAAAAGTATGTAGGCATTAAGCTTTTATCCTAAGTCTAGATGGGTGCTGTGGGGTGCCTAACACCTTCCATATGTATGATCGACTCCTGAATCCTACTATATTTCATAGATTACTTTTTATAAAAGGTTTCTAAAATTATTCTTTTAAAATCTTAGTGACGACTATTTCTTCCCTTTTATGGGAAGGCCATGATTCGTGCACAACAGATGTCCACCAATCATCTAAGCAAGCAATATCAAACAAGTCGCGAAATTATGCGCAGCCAAGTACTTGAGATCACCCCAATAGAAGATCACATGGATAAGGGTATAAAGATTGATGTACGTACAATGGGGGTCATTAGTTGCTATGGTGAAGGACTAGAGGTGTCGACAATTACCCATTCTTAAGGATGTAATAGCTGGGCACGAAGAAGTTAAAGAAGAAGAAAGATGATGGCATGGAGGAAGTAGATATACAGACTCATATATACACATACTACCTTCGGCCTTTAAAATAAGACTTTGTTTGACTTTTATTTTGATTCTAAATATAAGATCCCAATCTATTTTGTTTATCATATTTATCCATTTTTTTCGAAGATAATCCTTCTAATAATAATAGTTCTAGATAACAAATTTGATTAGTAAGGATATTATAGGAAAAACAACATCTATTCATTATATAAAGGGAAAACCATATTGAAGGTACCTATACTTTCTCTCAATTTTTAATTTGGTACCTATGTGTTTTTTTCTTTTTAATTAAACATTTAATTTTATCTTTTTAGCAACATTAGCTCTTATAACTTTGTTCTATTGATTTTTTAGTCTCTACATAAGGATTAATGATGTTAATAAAGCAAAATTAAAGATTTAGTTAATAACAAAAAACACATAGGTACCAAATTGAAAATTGAGAGAAAGTATAGGTACCTCCAATATGGTTTTCCCTTATAAATAACTAACTTAACTAAGTTTCTTGATCTTTCCAAATTAGTCAACTGGATCTTATAATTAGGACTGGAAGTAGTACAATAATACTAATTATTAATAAATATATCAATAACTCCATAATATCTCAAATGAATTGAGCTACAATAATATTACTCGATGCTTAATTCACTCCAAAACAATATATACACATACACACTCATAAAACATTATTCTGGTGATATATTTCATTTGATATTCATCTACGTTTTTTAAGTACTTCATTAATGTGGCAAACTAATTATAAAATTCAGAACCTTTTGCTCATAAATCAAAATATATCCTTTAAATATATAAGTGATATGGCAACACTTTTCAAAACGCAAAACGGCACGCATCCACGATCACATCTCCTCCTTTCGTGTTGGTTAGCTTGCAGACTTGGAAGGAGTAGAAATCGCTGCCAACTCGAGTGGAATCGGGAATTTGCAGTGAAATCGCTAGTACGTTGACGTTTTTACGAGTTCAACTCATTGCATAATATAGTATTATTTTAAGGTCAAAGAAACCCAATGTCCATATCACAACATGCATTTTAAAATCTATGTGTATAGTGTATGACAGGCTATTCTATGTGACTAAATGATTATGAAATTATTTATTTATCTGGATTTTATTGTGTCCCCCCCCCCACTGTCTTGATTTTATTCCTGGCACTTTAAATATGATATTTTAAATTTGGGTTTTATTTCCCATTCTTATAAATGTCTACTCATATATTTACTGGCTTACTATCATGTTTATAAATACAGTTGCTTTTTGTTCATGGATGACAAGAGGTGGGACTATTGGGAACTAAATATGAACATTTCTTTTAGTAGGAATTCGGACCTAATTCAGCACGTTGTAGAGAACTAGCCTCTTTTATTAGACCCAACTACCATTGTAAATTTTCTTCTTTTTGTTCCCTCCTTTCTTTTCATAATTTGTCCATTTATTAGCTATATGCTCTTTTGCCAAAAGTCTTGAACACGTTAATTAATTCCACTTATAACCTTGCTATTATTAATATTTATTAATTAAATACTTTTTTCCTGCGCAGAATGCGCATAGAAGTTTCCTGAAAGAAGAGAAAAACCATAGAAAAATAAAATTGAAAATTGTGCTCCATGTAGTCCATAATATAAGAAGGGTTTTAGAAGAAAATTGTGATATAAAATATAAGAGGCTGACCAGATCATTAATGATGGTTTTTCACTTTTATCCCTTCTTACAAAGAGGAGAGAGTGTTTTAAATACAAGAGAGAGTAGAGAGTTTTCCAATCACATTCTTCAATGAGAGTAAAATAGGTAATTTTTATCAATTTAACATATTTAATGACTTAATTAACACTTCTTAGTTTGTGAGAAAGTTTAGCTATAACCTTTTATGTTGTGGACCGCAGGAGTACATTTTATATTATGGTATTAATATTGAGGAATGATAATTATTTTACAGTAAAGAGAAACTCCCTTGTTTCATTTTTGTTGATCCCGTGGTCTGTCTTCTTTTTACCAAGAAAATTTTGAGGACCATTTAAGTACTACTGGTTTTCGGATTGAACAGAAACAAAGAAGACTACCAGACGATTATTCAATAACAATTATATGTAAATTAGAACATGGTCCTTTATTATACATTTAATTTCTCAGGCTCAGCTCGTTAATATAATTATCATTCAAAAAGAAATTTCTTTGGTGTTTAATAATTAAAAATGGTAAGAAAATATTTATTCATAGAGGGAAATCATATATAGATCATTATAAACTTTTCATTGATATAATTTATTTGTCACCAGGAACTATAGAACTTGATGAGGATAGTGTAGTGGAGACAGTGTTGATACATATATATCTGTTGAATTAAGCACACTGAAAGTTCGAGGGGACGTTTCTGCCACAGGCGTTGAGAATCATGTTCAAGTTAATGGGAATGTTAAGGTTGATACCTAAGACATTGGCTCTAATGGCCGTGCAGAGGCAGACGGCGGCATCGAGGTCGGCGAGGCCCCCAAGGAGGGAACAGCAATGGGTCTTCGACTGCCGGCCAAGGCGGAAGCCGACGAGATCCAGCACATTGGCGCAGACACCTAACTTAAGTGCATTCATAGGGCAACTTGGCTGATTTCCTGAGGAAGGAGGAGATGGTGTTGGTGATTCCGCATAGGTGGAGGTTACCATCGTGAAGAAGAGGAGGTTGATGACACAGAGGACAAGGGCAGACTTGGACGAAGCCATTCTTCGGGTTTCTGTCACTCGGATTTTTGCGATACTTGGCTTTTGATCGGTGAGGAGTTTTGTGAGATATGATAGGGCTTTTATAGGAGCGCATCCCTCTCTTACGGTTTTTTCTTTTAAAAGAATATTTGGGATTTTTTTTAAATGTAAAGCCTAAATGAGCTGGATTTTAAAATTATTATGGTATAGACGTACATGTTCATGCTCTTTTTTTTTTTTTGGTACGTCTCTGATGTAACTTGCCTAACGAGGCGATATAATTGAATAAGTTTTGCACATATATGTTATAGTTACACAGTTTTGCATTTTGTAGAATAAAGACAAATTTACGCTATTGGGACATTTAAATAATCTTAATCGTACATTTGATCACAAAAAAATATCCCCATCATATTTGTGCAAAACTTATTCAATTATATCACCTTGTGAGGCAAGTTACACTAAACAAGATAAATATATAGAGAGGAGAAAAACTTTGCGTTGGCCCAAAAAAAAAAAAGATAGATACTTTGCATTGAAATTAATGATCCTCAACTTTCATTGAGGATGAATTAACACATAATAGGTCAGAGAAAAATACAATTCGGTACATATTGCGGTGCCAGCTTTGTCATAACAATTTCAATTTTCATCCAATGGGCGAATCAATCAGTTATCAATTATTTAGTTATAAAATGATTTAATACATAATTTATTTAATTTTATTCCAAAATCAGCTTTTCATCCTGTTATTTATTTCAAACTAAGAGGAAGAATATTAGGTAAAGATGAGCAAAAGCAGCCAAAAGGTATCTAGTCCTATGGCCTATTGAGGATTATATACGTACAAAAGTAAGGAAAATTTTCACTAAGGTCACAAGGAACAAAGAATACAGCATAAAGGTACTATAAGAATTACAAATTAATTAGAAGTCCTAAAGGGGCCTAAGTGTAAGAGATTGTAATTTAATGAAAATGTAAAAAGACCTCATTATCCTTGCTAATACCCTTACTCGTTAATACATGCCACAACAGATGTTAATATAGCTATTTAATTGTTAATAACAAGTACATAATGCACATTGATATTAGGTATTAACAAATGTCACGACAACCATTAATGCTCGCACATTAACTTGTCATCTTTGTGATGCTAAAAGTTTTGTTAATGTAGGCATTTTCACTTGTCATCACAAGAATTCTGAGTTGATTTTTGAAATTTCATTATATTATCTCCGGTCCTTAATATAAGACCCTATTTGATTTTTATTTTGGTCCTAAATATAAGATCCCAATCCACTTTGTCTCTCATATTTATCCACTTTTTTCAAGATCGTCCTTCTAATAATGGTAGTTCTAGATAATAAACTTGATTAGCAAAGATATTTTAGAAAAAATAACACCTATTCATTACAAATAACTAACTTAACTAAGTTCCTTAATCTCTCCAAATTAGTCAATTGGGTCTTATAATTAGGATAGGAGGTAGTATTAATTTGATTTGTAGAGTTTCATTTGAAAATTTAATTATGTTTTAGGCAATGAATGCAATGTATACTCTTTAAGTTATATATGATAATCTAAAATGGTTGTATTTTGAATAAATTAATTATCTTAAAATAATATGAATTGTCATTTGGCTTAAAAGTAAAAAATACATATAAAAATATAATAAAAGTTCACTTAATACTATAAAATTTTTTTTGGGTTCAAATATACTAATCAAAATTTAAAAAGAGGTCAATAATGATAGTGCCGTTAACATTTGTTTTTTATGGAGTGGGACCCATAATTTTTTTAATAAAAGTACCAAAATACCCTCAATTAAAATAAAAAAAATTTAAAGGTCAAAATACCTATGAACTTATACTAAAAGTTCACCAAACACCATATAATTTTTAATAAAAGTACCAAAATACTCTTAATCTTAAAGGGCTATTGCATTAAAGTGTGTTAGAGATTATTAATTATAATAAATTTTTATAATTAAACTAACTTGCGTAAAAAAGTTTCAGCTTGAATTAAATTGCTGTTTAAAGTAAGGTGTTTATGTCTCCAATCTTTTCTTTTATGAGACATTATAAGTATTTTTTAAAAATAAGTTACTTGTACCAATGGCATATTGAATTGTGTATTTATCCTCCAATCTATGTTATCAAATTTAACGGTTAATCTGAATATTTTTTACGTTTATATTCAATTCTTTAAGAAAATTCAAAGTCACTTTTAGCAGTATGGGATCCACTATTTTTAATTAAAGTACAAAAATACTCCCAGTAAAAGGAAAAAAAATTACCATCTCCCTCTAACCTGTCGATAGTCTTCTTAGCTCATCTCCCTTCCAAAAAAAAGCCCGCCATTTTACAACATGGATTCATATTCTTTATTTCAATCAAACTTTAAAACATTCTCATATAATTTTCTTCTAGAATTAATTAAGTTTTTTTAAATTGAATTAAAAATATGAAAGCATCAAATGAATACTAATCAAATGATTAAAATATAAATATTTATTTTGTTAAATTTATTTAAGAATTCTTTGGAATTAAAACACTCGGGGATAAGTAATTGTAACATAACAAAATTTTAAAGCTCTGAAAAATAGGCTCTTGAGGAATCATGAGGGTCAAAGGAATTATCTTAATGAATAGAGTCTCAAGATTATTTTATTGTTTTAAAAGCTTATTTTTGGGCAAAATTTTAAGGAGATTAAGTTGGAAAATATTTATTAAAATTATTTAGTACCTAATAAAATTTGGGAGACATTACGGAATATTATTTTGAGGATTTATAAAATTTATGAAGAGGTTCAATTCCCCAAATATGACTTAAATGGTTTTAAAGCTAATTTCTATAGATAACGACCTATTTTTCTAGAAATTCAAGAAAAAATAGTTAGAGGTTTATATTTGTGCTGAAAATTTTAGGATAAATATTTTATGAGATAAAGAAATTATTTGAGGCATAAATCCTTGAAATAGGTTAAGGATTAATTTCTGGAATTAATGGCTATTTTCCTGAGAAATTTAAGAAAAATAGCTAAGAGACGATTTTTGACCAGAAATTTTTATGGACATTATTTTATGTATAAAAAAGCTAATGGATAAGAAAAATCCATATAAAAGTTGGTGGAATAATTTCTGGGTTGATTCTCTAATTTCAGAAAAATAGAGAAAGGATCAAAGTGAAGACAAGGTGTACTTTGAATGGCAAAATGGTCAACACAGCGACCCACACCCCACCTCACGTGTTACCCTCTCCATTTAATCATCAGTGACTCACTCCCTTCTCATTTTATCATCTGCACACTGAGAGAAAAGAGAGGGAGAGACCGAGAGCAACAAGGAGACGGAGGTGGGTGATGGGTGGCCGGATTCTTGCATGCAAACAGAGTTTCAGACTCAGGTGAGCCTTTTGAGTCTCACTTCGTCTTCATTTTTCTGGTTTAGTGCTGTTGTTGGCTATAACTGTAGAGAGAGTGATGGGGTAGTGAGAGAAAGTGAAGTAAAGGAGAGAAGGATCGGTGAATTCATGTTCTATGGCAAGATTGAAGTATGTGGAAGTATTTTTGTGATTCCATGTTGCTGTTGTCTCTATTTTATGATTCTGCGAACAGAGTATGAATGTTTCTGGTTGCAAGGCGTCGAATATATATGGAGATCCATGTTGAGTTACTTCTTTGTTTTCTAGTTGTTTGAATCTGGAGTACTTGTTTTGGAAATCAGATTTCTTATTTGCTTCTCGGTGCTGACAAATTTCTGAGTAGGAAGAGGAGCAGTATATATGTGTGTGTGTGTGTGTGTATCGTCGCCTAGATGTGCTAAACGTGTGATGGTGATTCTGGGATTTACATGAAAAGGGAGAACTGAAGCTTACACACACACACAGAGACACGGTTGCCATGGCTGATTTGAATTAGTTCTTGGATTTAACGAAAGGTAACATATGTGTATGTATATACGTATGCTTCGGTTGCATTATACTAAATCCAGAAAATTTTTCCTAGCTACCCGAAACATTAATGGAGAATAGAGGAGGTTGGTATGGGCCATGGATTAAGCTTGTATAAGAGGATTTTGGGGCTGTGTTAGAATATATATGTATGTGTGCGTGATATTATGATTTGATGGGCTGAAATTTGAAGCTAAGTATCAATGTGAAGCATACTGTTGGATGTTTTTAAGTGCTAAAAATTATTTTAGATGGTACAACTAAGTGTAGACACTTTAGAATGATAATTTAAACATTGTTCTTGATCTGGAAATTTTATGGAATTAAGAAAAAGGAGGTACTGTTTCAATTGTAAGGAAATCAAGGAGAATAATGAGATGCTCAAATAACATAAGATAGATAAATACAAGTGTATATTTTAGCTGTTTCTGTATAAAGAGTGGTATTAGAACATGATCATACTTAGTCTCCTGTAATATGTTAAGAAGAATATTCTTTAATTCTTTCCAGATTCTCTCTTATCCCCAGGGCCACGTTGCCCTATTCATAACAAACTTATTTGTCCTTTTTTGTACACTGTTCATTATTTAATGATAGGCAGGGCACTACCATTCGGTGCCTGATACACTTGTGCTTTTATGCTTTTCCTTTCTAGTGGGTCTGCTTTTAGATGAGCAAAAGTGGGTCCAAGGATGCAACGATGATTGTTTAAACGTGCTTGAGCTGAGAACTAATTTGATGCTGCTATTGTATGGTTCTTGATGCCAAGAAATTGTTTTAGAATGTTAAACGAGGAGTTGAATAGAAACATTTTTCAGATTTGTGGTTAAAGTTGCTCAAGGGAATAAAAGGGATTAGATGTTTGAATGACATGGTAGTTTATGTATAAGAATTAAAAGGGTGCATATGAGGTATTACATGTGGGAGTTCAGATACGGAAATTGAGAACGGCATATATATCTCACTGATTGATGCTTTCAATTGTTGATAGGGTTGCTATTAGGAACGTTGTAATCGGAAGGAT